AATAAGCTACACAAGTAATTGAATACAAACATTGAAATAAAGTTCATATTTGTGTGAGTATTTTTTTATTAAAATCTATGGTTTTATATCATAATAAAAAATTTGCTAAGTGTGCTGTGATATTTTCATTTGCTCTTAGGTGTGCTGTTGCTTAAAAAGGTTGCGAAGTGCTACCCTAGTGGAATGATGGGCACTAAAAAGTTAGTGAAAATATACAATTATGATTATTGTAAATGATCCATGAAAATGAGTACACCACAAAACAAAACCAGGAGTCAAGTCTGTGCTCTTCCTGTTCTGGCAAAATGAAGAGAAATAGAAATTCCAAGTTTTGAGATTATTTTTAATGAATTATCTTCATCTTTTTTCTCAGTTTGTTGTCGATAACATTTGTGAGATTTTTTTGTTTTGTTTCCCCCCAAGCAACAGAATAAATCCCCAAAGACACTAGGGGTTGCCAAGTTAAAGAATATGAGAAGAAGAAAAACATTAAGAGAAAACAATAAAAGAACAAGAATTAAAACAGAAGATAAAGATTGATATTGCATTTAAATTTTTAAAGGTCAAATTTAACTGGAAAGCAAGAGGCCAGATGAGTTCCACAAGCGAGAAGTGTGAAAGAAGAAACTGTTAGCATAGTATTTCTGGTTACATTTAACCGTTTCAACTGTAAAATGACGAGATCTAGCTGCTATCCTAATACTGTGCTTAAATTCGTAAAGTCTAGGTATCAAAGAGGAAAGTTCATCAGGACAATTACCATGAAAATATCTATAGGAAAGGGAAGCTATGTTATGTTGGTGGGAAAGTGACTGAAGCTGAGATGCCAGGTGAGGACCACTAACATTGCAGATTCTTGTTTTGGATTTGTTGTGGATGACATTTGTGAGTGACCCTTCTGACTCCTTTTACATATTTATGTTCATATATTTAATTTATTCTTCAAAAATGCCAAATTTATTAATTCTTCATTATTTACATTATTCAGACTGTTGTCCTCATTCATCCTTGTCGCCATATTCATTACAATGTTTCAGCCATTGTACGCTCTGGCCTTCTTCAGGTGGTTGGAATGTTGAACTGAACCCTTTATTTCGCTCACTGGGGTAGACTGTTTTAGTTCCACGTGCCATGTTTAGTGGATGTCAGTTATCTCCTGTTAATTTCCCTCTGAAAGTTCTTCACTGCCTTAACCGGGTATTGAACTCACACTCTTTGGGTCCTGTCACTGGATCCAACCAACATCCCTATCCACTGTGCCATGTGTCCTCGAGGAATATGGTGACAGGGATAAGGACAATAGTTTGAAAAATGTAAATAATGTACATAATACCTCATCTCAGAAATATAGACAGTTATTAATTCTGACTTCAGTTTCATTCTCTCTGATTTAAACTCACACGAAAGCATTTACGATTCAATTAACATCTTTTCAAGAGTGTTTTTTTTTTCTTTATTTTTTTTTTTTTACATTCTAGTCATTGAAAATGTGATGTGCAACAGTAGAATAATCATATTTAAAATAGCAAATGATAACAAGGCACACTTAATTAAATCTCTTTTGATAGCATCAAGTTATGAATTGTTGTAAATGCAGCAGTTCATGTTGAATAACTTTGTTGTGTGTGACTCCTATTGTTAGCATTGCGTGTCTAACTATTGCATCAGAAATCGACCTTTATACATTTCCACTCAATAGAATTAATGCTTTCATGACATGGTTTTATTTTAATCTTTCTTTTGGTTTCCACTAAAATTTCATCTCTTTACACTGAGCCTAAAATATGGTTGAGATGAAGTGATAGTATAGATTAATTGCATTATTTACATTATTCAGACTGTTATCCTCATCTTCATTGCCATATTTACAACGTTTCAGTCGTCGTATGCTCCGGCCTACTTCAGGTGATTGGTTTTTCGAACCAAACCCTTTTTGTCCACTGAGGTAGATTTTTCTAGTTCCATGTGCCATGCCTCTTCCAGATGTCTCAGTTATTTCCCTTTAACTCACCTCTCCAAGTTTTGGTTCACCACTACTGTGGCCTGGTGCTGTACTCACAATTCTTTGGGTCTAGTCACTGGATCTAACTAATGTCTTAATCCATACAGACAGATTGTCTTGATTAAGTTTCCAGATGTTGAATGTTGATTTTCAAGGCAACAAAATCTTCCAGACACAAACCCCCTATTATTCTTCTGTTTGGTCTTATTTTTTATTAAACTGAATAAATTTATTTATTTTTTAATCATTTCACCCCAAGCAAGGCAACAGAGCCACTAACATACAGGGGTTTTAAATTCAATGTCAATTTTCATCTTTTGACTTTAAGAGGATGGAAGATGACAACTGACATTGAATTTTAACATTTTGAAGATCAAAGTTGACGGGAAAGCAAAAAGCCAGAAGAGTTCCACTAGCAAGAAGTGTGAGAAAAGAAACTTATGGTTAGATTCAGCCATTTCAACTGTGAAATGAGATCTTGCCATCAATCTAGTAATTTTGCTTAAATTCATAAAGTCTAATATCATAAAGGAGTTTATCAGAACATTTACCATGAAAGTATTTATAGAAAAAGCATAGGGAGTTACATTGCAATGGTGGGAAAGTAACTGTAGTGAGGATGCCAGGTCAGGACCAATAACATTGCAGATTCTTCTTTGGATTTTATCAAGAATCTCTAAATATATAGCAGGAACACCAGACCATATGTGGTAACAATATTCAAAGTATTGATTTTTTTTTAATATGTAAAATAGATTCTAACAAGAAAAATTGTCTAGCATAAGACAGTTAATCAACCTTCGTAGCAGCAGACCTAGCATTTGATTTGGTTTTCTGTTGCCTTCTCTACAATTTGGTGTTTAATTTTCTTTCTTTTAGGTGGATTGTCATTCAAGGTTTGAGAAATGGAGGGAAGTGAAGGGAGACATTATGGTCAAAACTGATTTAAAAAAATATAATTTAAAAAAATACCTAAAACAACAAAATTGACTTTAAATACAAGGCTTTATTTAGGAAAAACATTAAATTTCACATTAAATGACCCAATTGGTTGATATGCAATGAAAAGAAACTTACTGACTTTTACTTGCTCTGGTATATAAGCCTGATTTTGCTTACATTACCTGCAGTTTCTAAGTGATCACTTATCTATGTACTTAACAGGCCATCACTGCTCAATTGATTTTGGTGAGAATCATGCTTTCAGCCTAACTGCAAGTCTTGGCTTGTACATATATGCTTTTAAGAGTCCACTTCTTCTCTCACACACTGACATGTTATCAAAGTGTATGTTTTCCTTCTACTTCCTCACACTTACCTCTCTCTTTTTCTCTCTCTCTTTTTCTCTCTCTCTTTTTCTCTCTCTCTCTTTCTCGCTATCTTTCTCTCTCTTTTTCTCTCTCTCTTTTCTCTCTCTCTTTTTCTCTCTCTCTTTTCTCTCTCTCTTTTCTCTCTCTTTTTCTCTCTCTCTTTTCTCTCTCTTTTTCTCTCTCTCTTTTCTCTCTCTCTTTTCTCTCTCTCTTTTCTCTCTCTCTCTTTTTTCTCTCTCTCTTTTCTCTCTCTCTCTCTCTCTTTTCTCTCTCTCTTTTTCTCTCTCTTTTTTCTCTCTCTCTTTTTCTCTCTCTCTCTTTTTTTCTCTCTCTCTCTTTTTTCTCTCTCTCTTTTCTCTCTCTCTTTTCTCTCTCTTTTTTTTCTCTCTCTCTTTTCTCTCTCTCTTTTTCTCTCTCTCTTTTCTCTCTCTCTTTTCTCTCTCTCTTTTCTCTCTCTCTTTTTCTCTCTCTCTTTTTCTCTCTCTTTTTTCTCTCTCTTTTTCTCTCTCTCTTTTCTCTCTCTTTCTCTCTTTTTTCTCTCTCTTTTTTCTCTCTCTTTTTTCTCTCTCTTTCTCTTTTCTCTCTCTTTTTCTCTCTCTCTTTTCTCTCTCTCTTTTCTCTCTCTCTTTTCTCTCTCTCTTTTCTCTCTCTCTTTTCTCTCTCTCTTTTCTCTCTCTTTTTCTCTCTCTTTTTCTCTTTTCTCTCTCTTTTTCTCTCTCTCTTTTCTCTCTCTCTTTTTCTCTCTCTTTTTTCTCTCTTTTTCTCTCTCTTTTTCTCTCTCTCTTTCTCTCTCTCTTTTCTTTTCTCTCTCTTTTTCTCTCTCTCTTTTCTCTCTCTCTCTCTCTCTTCTCTCTCTCTCTCTTTTCTCTCTCTCTTTTTTTCTCTCTCTCTCTTTTTTTCTCTCTCTCTTTTTCTCTCTCTTTTTCTCTCTCATTTAAAAAAAAAAATTAAAACCCTGAACCATGCATTGTCCAAGTTTTCTTCAAAAAGTTCTTTTGTAAAATAGATTTGTTTTGTATTTAGATAATCCCTTGAAGAACCCACGCAAGTTCATTTGATTTAGATTTGGAATTTACAAATAGAACACTGAATAAATCCTACTTTTTTAATAATATAAGGTTGGATAGGGGACAAGTTTTGGAATTACAATTTATGTTTCATAAAATTAATAGGCAAAAACCATCTTGAAATTTCCAAGACTCTTTTTAAAAAGGGCAGTTTTCCTTGAAAAATTTTGTCTTGCCAAGAATCTGTTTCTTTAGTTCTTCAGTATTAGAATATTTTAACTTTGGCAAAATCAAAAGGTATTCCAGGCTAACAATTGGTTATTTGGTCTTGGGCCTCATAATTCATTGTCAATAATAAACTAAACTGGAGGAATGTTGTCAAAACTATAGGCTTGAATATTTTCTCCTGAGGAAAATCTTAAAAGAAAACAATGTTACACCTATAATTATATGTTAGGTACAAATCATTAATGGGTCTGTGTGTAGTAAAGGAATCTAATTAAATCAAAGGTTTTGGCAATATAAGTACAATATTATAGCTACAATTGTAGTTTGAATCATATTTTTATTCAGAATATTTGATTTGAATTTCTTTTTAAAATTTCAGATACAATTTATTTCCATCTTCCTTCACGTGAAGGAGATTTTGGTACAGTCTATGGCGTGTCCTGCTACCAACAAATGGATTCCAAGGTAAGAATTTCCAATTCTTTAGATTTATGGCCGCATCACATTGAAACATTGGTTCCCATATTATTCCTGTTAAGCAATATCAAGCCTGGTCAGTACTTTGATGAGTGACTGCTTGGTAATACCAGTTGCTGTAGGCTTGAATGTGCAGGTGGTATAATGGATAACATCTCAGAATTGTTAATCAGAGAGCCAAGTTCCAATTTCAGTTGAATTTGTTATATTCACTTACACACAGATACCCTTGGGAAGTTATGACTCCACCTCTTCTCTCCCCAACTATGGGTTAATTAGAAAGACTTGTATCACTAAATCATTATCTCAAAAAAAATTCTTACAATCTAAAAATATTTTCGAGCTTTAAATAACTTGAAAAGGGTTGATAAGCCATAAAAGTTAATAAATCAATCAAGTAACCTGTAGAGAAAATAAACCTTTTATTTTGTCCACTTGGAATGGATTGCTCTTTTCCTTTTTATCTGTTTGCCATTTCAGGGATTTCACATTTCATAATTATTAACATTCCTATTCAGTCCTACAATGACCAATTATCTCCCTTGTTTGGGATCTTTGATTCAGAAATTACTGAATCAAAATTCTTTTATGACAACTTTTCAATTAATCAAATTAATACTCTTTAACTAATGCGGAAACATTGTTGGGAGTTTGTCAGAATTATATGAAGGCATGGTACTTGTCAAGTTCTATGTCTGACTTCCTTCCTTTTTTTTTTTTTTTCATTTCATCCCAAACAAGGCAGTAAACCTCCTAAGACATGAGAGATTACTGAATGTGAAAGAATAAGAAAAAAGACAAACATTACTAAGGAGTGAGAAAAATAAGAGGAATCTAGAAAACGATTGACATTGCGTTTAAAATTTCAAAGCAAGAAGCCGGAAGAGTGTTAAAAAAAAAAAAAGAAAGAAATTGTTAACATAGAACTTACTGTTACATCTAACCAATTCAACTGTAAAATTGTTGCCAATCTTAAATTTATAAAGTCTAAGTACCATAGTGGAAAGTTCATCAGAACAATTACCATGAAAGTATTTATTGAAAAGGTGCAGGGAGGCTACATTACAGTGTTGGGAAAGTGACTGAAACCAAGATGCCAGGTCTGGACTATTAACATTTCAGATTCTTCTTTGGATTTCACTAAAGATATCTAAATGTATAGCACGAGCACCAGACCATACGTGGCAGCAATATTCAAAGCAAGAATGAATAGTAGACTTATAAATATGTAAGATGGATTCCGGTGAGAAAAAATTGTCTTGCATAGAGAATCAACTTTCTTAGCAGCATACCCAGCAATTGATTCAATATAATCTTTCCACTTTATATCAGCAAAGATTGTTAGCTGAAGAAAGTGCAATGAGTCACTCTCCTAGAGATTATCATCAGCCATGCTGATGGGAGGCAGAAAATGTAATATTAAATTATATTTAATTGAAAATGGATGATTAATAGAAAGAGGCTTCATTTTGTAGGCAGTAAAATTAACAAGCCATTCCTTATGCTAACAGAAGTTTTTAGCTCATTTTTGTGATTGGCTGCCAATTTGACCTTATCGAACTAATCAGACTTAGTACTGAGACATGAGTAAATAGTTGCATCATCAGCATAGATACTAAGTTAACTGATACCATCAGGAAGGTCCTTAATGAAAATTAGGAACTAAGTAATTCCAAGGATGTGGCCATTCAGGATGACTTTCATTTCATGATTTAATAAGAAAGTGTTGTATGAAGGGTTGGAATTTGATTTAGCTGACTATTACAATACTAAGCAAGAGTCGCCATACCTATTATTCGTCAGTTATTATTCTCTCTGCTCTCTCCCACCACAAAAACACTCTTACTGACAACTTACCTAACAATATACTAGGCTGGTTTTAGCTGACATTAGGAGCAATTAGTTCTAATTAACTTAATTCGAAGATTGCTTTTGATTTTAAGGGGATATCATAGAAGTGCATTTCAGTTTTTAAATTTTATCCAAATTAGCATATTTTTGTGACTTGATTCTTGTATGGATGATGAAATAAAATAAAGAACATTTTCAGTGTATAAGCATATTTTTTTTTATTTTAAGAAAAGTAAAAATGTGATTTCAAATAAATACTTGTTCAGTTTGTGGAGAAGGTACGATGAATGATGAAGCATGCCAAGAGCAGTTTGCAAAATTTCATATTGGAGAGATATCTTGCAATGTTCCATGGCATGGTTGGGTAGACCAGTTAAGGTTGATGGTGATCAAATCAAGATGTTACTTGAAAATAATCAATATTATATGCTGCAAGATATGGTCAAGATAGTTGAAATCTCCAAATCAAACAGTGACAATGATTTGCACCAGTATGTTAGTTACTTTAATGTGTGGCTTCCATAAAAATAAATTCTACTCCCATAATGGAAAAAGAAACAACTGCACAATGCTTCAAATTGTGATTTGTTATTTTAACACTTTAGCATTCAACACACTCAAACCCACTATGTAAATATTGTTTCTCAATGTTTCACTGTTTGTAGTCAAGGTATCACTATTTTTATGACTTGATGTGTTATTTGCAGTGATGTTATTATATATTGTGGTAGACTATACATGGAGTAGTTTATAGTGGGTTGGACATTGAGAGCCAATATTTATCAGGTTAGTTTGGGTGGGTTTAATGCTAAAGCGTTAATGTAAAAAAAAACAACAACAATGGGCAATGCAAAAGATTGTTAGGCAAGCAAAATCAATCATCACTAACCATACTAAAAGACTTTCTCCAAAGGCGATTGTCTGTATTTGCTGGGAGAATGAATGGTTTCAAGAATTATTACTCTTATGCAGACCAAATTGAAGGCAACAATCATCATCAAGAATAAATCTGGAATTAGTTAATATATAATTATAGTTAATAATTAATAAAAAGTGCATAACATTCCATTGTTTGCTGACCAGACAGAAATTGTTACAGATTAGCCAGGAATGATTTTTTGCTGATTTACTATTTTCACCTTTTGGTTAAAATTTACAGAATTCACTTAATGAAAAACATTCATTTCCCTGGAAAAGAACAAACGACACTTAGAGATTGTCTTTGATGAGAAAGATGAAAAGTTCTAGGAGGATAGAATTATGAAGTTGCTTAAAAGAGAGCAAAAGATAAATAAATATTGTTTCAATTGCTCTGCACTGTAGAACTTAGAACTTTGTGTTAACAAAGTAATTTATTTATTTTTTTAATCAACTTGCCCCAGGCAAGATGGTAATGATATTGAGCCACAAGAGACTATTGGGGGGTGAAAGAGAATAAGAAGACTTTAGAAGGAGCTGGAAACCCAATCCTAAACAGGCAATGAGAGATAAACCTCTACTCCTGTCCCAGACCAGAGAGGAGTGTGAACCAGATGTTGGTGCCAACATTGAAAATTTCTATCAAAAGAAAAATCTGGTTTCTTTTGACAGTATTTTTAACATGTCTTTTCTTCACTTTTATGCTATCGTTAAGTTTTGTACCACCAAAAAATTGTTAAAGCACCCCTTACACATTCTCGTGTTGTTTGTTCTGACTATTAAGTTCTTGCTTATATTATTATTGCTTATTATTGGTGTTGCTGACTTACATAATGCTTGAATGTCTTTGCATGTATGTAATGCTATAAAAATCCACTTAAAACATGCTTCACCTTGTTTGCTCTGGTTTATGAAGAGGAAATAGAAAACTTGAATGTTTTTGCTCTTTAATGACCAATAACTCTAATGATTCACTTTTATCACACAGGCATTGGGGGAAGTAGTTTTATTACACTAGGACAATATGAGGAGGTGTTGAAAAATCACTATCTTAACCCACTTCCCTAAATCTGACCAAACCTAATTTTTTGTAAAGTTTTCTTATTTGAACTGAGAACTTTCTTTTGATATACCTTTCTACAGGCTGTCCTTAAAGTCTGGACACAGGAAATTGCATTAACTATTTTTTTTTTTTTTTACCTCCTCAGATTAAATATGGTTTTGTCAGAAGGAATTGACTACTTTTTCTAGGGTATCACTGAAAATCGCAGATGCAACATACTTGATTGAATGCATAAAGAGTGAATGTACTAACAATGATGGCAATATAGAGTTATTACATTGATTTCATGTGAGTCATGCAAAGCACATCAACCTTTGCATCACAAATGATAGAAATCATATTAAAAATATTATTAGTTAATATTCCAATCCAATAAAATGTTGAAAATTTAATTTTTTGAAAATATGCATTTTTGCTTATGTGTCCAGACTTTAGGGACACCCTGTATGTTAAATAGTAAAAAAAAAAAAAAAAATGCACATGTCTATTATATGCCCACTTATAAGGGAGATCTAACTTTATTAATAATAGCAAATTGTGATCCCCTATAATTGTTAATACAAAGCAGCATTTTTTTCTTTTTCTAAGCATTTTGTCCCAAGCAAGGTGGGAAGCCACTAGCACACAAGGAGTTACAGAGAGATGGAGCGAGAGCAAATAGGATTGATAAAGGAAAGGATGAAGAGAAGGATAAGGGATAGATCAAGGCATCTGGAGACATCGATTGACGTTACATTTGAATAGTTGGAGATTATATCTATCAGGGAAACAGGAAAAGGGAAGGGAGGGAGTTCCACAGGTGAGAAGTGCGAGTCATGAAGTTATTGGAGTAGAAGAGACAGCTACATTTAACAGTCTTGACAGTGAGTGAGATGCTAGCCTAGCTGAACGCTTAAATTCATGAAGTCTTGGAATCAGCGAAAGAAGCTCATCGAAGCAGTTACCATTAATTAGCATTATGGTGAATTGTATGTTGCTATTGCAGATGTGGCTTTGGTGGTGGTTGTATTTTTCACCAACATTCTTGGAAATGGCACCAGTGAGATAATCCCATTTCAAAATAGGATCATAACATTTCAGTTTAATAAAAAAAAAAAATGAAAAAAAAAATAAAACCAAACCCTCCATGTCAGAAATCTAACACCAGTTTCCTGCGAGGCACTAACAAATTGAAAGTGAAACTAAAGGGCAAGTCTATTTGTTGATATTTTCTATTTTTTCTTCACAGTAACAGCACAAATATGTTTTCTTCATTATTTTTTTTTTTTTTTCCTTTTTTCTATTATAAATTTTCTGCTTTTCTACTTTCAGGATCTTCTTAGCCGGTCTGAGGAGATTACACGGAATACTGTGCAGAAAAGTGTTTGTGTCCTGAGCCGATTGGTAAGCAGATGACTCCCATCCCCCAAACTTTTTCTTTTGTTTTGGTATAGGTGCTTGGTATGGTATATATCTAAAGATGGTGGATACTGTCTTAAGTGATTCATTATGAATTGCATGGTGGTGGGCTCTTTAACACCTTTTCTATAAATTTAGTTGACTGTCATATTTGACAAGACAAAAAAAAAGTGCTTTTAATACATGATAACCTCTCATTCACATTATTTTAGTGAGTAGGTTGACTTTTTATATGAAGTCAACTTTAAGCTAAACGAGATGTTGTTTGAAGTATATTGGGAGATAAGAAAACGTGGAACATAAGTGAACAGGCAACTAGGATTGGTAAACAGTAAATTTGGGCAATTTCAATTAAATGCATTCCGAAAGAGGGTCAAATATTGCAAACCAGTCTCTGTTTTTGTAAAGTTCACTCATTAACACACACAGATGGATCAATCAGACTGTAAATTGATATGAAGTAGTTATCTGAATTTTGATATGAAATTTTCTCTGTATAATGTTTGATCTGTGTGGGGATGTTAACAAGTTCTCAGTCCAGCCAAGAAGTATTACCTTGAGCTGTGAAGCATATATGCTTTTTTGCATCTTTTAATTATTTATTTTTTTAATCATTTCACCCCAAGCAAAGCAATAAAGTCACTAAGACACAAGGAGTTACTGAGTGTGAGAGAATGAGAAAAAGAAAACCTTATTAAGGAGAGAGAACGATAAAAGAACGGGAATTAAGAATACAGAAGATAACGATTAACATTACATTTAATTTGTTTGAAAATAAAAGTTGACTGGAAAGTGAGAAGAGATTTTCACAAGTGGGAAGGGCAAGAGAAGAAATTGTTAACATAGAACTTACAGTTACATTTAGCCATTTCAACTGTAAAATTGACCTTTCCACCAAGCTTGTACTGTACTTAAATTTGTAAACTTGAGGTACCAAAGAGGAAATCTCATCAGAACAATTTCCATGAAAATATTTATAGAAAAGTCACAGGGAAGTTATGGTACAGCAATGGGAAAGTGACTAAAGTTGAGATGCCAGGTGAGGACCAATAACATTGCAGATTCTTCATCTCTTTTCACTGAGTCTGCCATGTGGGGGAGATGGGGTGTTAGTATAGATTAAATTCCCAGTTGTTGAATGCTGATTTTCATGGCAAGAAGTTCTTCCTCTCTTGGAAGAGTGGGACAACACAATCTCTCAGTTTTTCTTCTGTTTGGTCTTATTTTATATTAAACTAAGTTAAATCTATTTTTCTTTTAATCATTTCACCCCAAATAAAGCTACTAACATGCAAAAAGAAAATAGAAAAGATACAAGAAAGCTCTATTACAGTGGTGGGGAAATGACTGAAGGTGAGATATCAGGACAGGACTAATAACATTGCAGATTCTTCTTTGTATTTTATCAAGAATCTCTAAATATATAGCAGAAGCACCAAACCTGATGTAACAGCAATATTCACTTCATGGATAAATGGTAGACTTATAAATGTGTCAGATAAATTTTGATGAGAAAAATAGTGTAGCATGTTTACTAAAAATTTACTTCTCGGTTTGATATATACGGCACATTATTTCTAGAATTTCATTAACACATGTTGAAGTAAAAGTCCGGTTTTCATTGAAATGCTGCTACTTTTTTCTTTTTTTTCGCTTCTTTTTCTCTTTCTCTTCTTTTTGTTTCGTTTTTGTTTTTGTTTTTTGTTTTTGTTCTGTTCTTTTTTCTGTTCATTCTTTTTTCTTTCTTTTCTTTTTGTAAGTTGTTTAGGGCAAGACCTTTCTAGCACTTCCTTGAATGTAATTAATATTCACCATTGAATTAAGTGCATTCACATGGAAAAAAAAAAATAATTTGTCAAATAAATGCATTTTTTTTTCTTTTCATCATGCTATGAATTTATTGATATATATATAGTAACCCGGATATAAGAGAAACCCGGATATGAGAGAGATTTTCTCTGGTCCCAAATTAGAGCCTGTGTTAATGTATATAAATTAGACCAAATCCGGATATAAGAGACTTCTTCTCCGGTCCCGACAACTCTCTTATATCCGGGTTACACTGTGTGTGTGTGTGTATTTATATATATATATCTCATGTCCATATTTCTCTGTATCTCTCACACACTATTTTGGCTCTGGTCAAATCAGTAACACTCTTTTATAGTTATTACTACCTGAATGGTAGTTATGGGAGAGTGGTTTTCCTGAGTATTCACTTATTTAGCTTCAGATTTTTTTATTTTTTTTTTAAGTACAGTGTAACCCGGATATAAGAGAGTTGTCGGGACCGGAGAAGAAGTCTCTTATATCTGGGTTTCTCTTATATCCGGGTTTGGTCTATTTTATATACATTAACACAGGCTCTAATTTGGGACCAGAGAAAATCTCTCTTATATCCGGGTTACACTGTATAAGGAAGAATGCAAAGAGAAAATTTCTGTTTTTTTTCCTTCAAACATTTCCAACTGTGCTTACAGCCAAATGTTGAAACCCCTGTTCCTGTACAGTTACTGAAGTTAAGTAGTGTCAAGACTGGTCAGTACCCAGATGGGTGATTACTTGTGAATACCATGTGCTGTAATTGATAATGTCTCAGAATTGTTAATCAGAGAGCTGAGTTCCAGTTGGGTTCATTATATATGCATACAAATACCCTTGGGAAAAGAATGAATCCACCTCTTGCATCCACCACTTATGTGAAAATACATTTTCTCCCTACCAGCTATGGGTTAATTATTAATAATTTTATCACTGAAACAATTATTATATAAAAAAAACAAAAAAAACAAAAACCATTGAGCCTGGTCACTACTGAGATGAGTGACCACTTGAAAATACCAGGTGCTGTAAGCTTGGATGTGTGGGTTGTGTAATGGATAATGGCTTGAAATTGTTAATTGGAGAATCAAGTTCCAATTCCCATTGTGTCTGTTATACTCACTTATGTGCAAATACTTACTCGTGGGAAAGGTGTGAATTCTTTTTGTCCTCCCAGTTATGGGTTAATTAGTAAGACTTGTATCACTAAACCATTATCTCCCCCCAAAAAAAAAACAAAATTCTTGCAATATAAAAATATTTTCTGCTTTTTAAATAACCTGCAAAGGGTTGATAAGCTGTACAAAATAAACCAATCAATCCATGATAATGCAAGGTTGCACACAACAAGAATAAAAGAGTGGGTGGGGAAGCTTTGGGACTCTGTTGATCTATTCTACTCCTCCCACTATATTCACCTTGCCTTGTACCAACCGATGACATTTTTTGATCACTGCATGATGCTTTGATGGAGAAAATTTTCTCTGATGAAACCCAAGTTCAAGAATTTGTTAAAAACTTTTCACATTAAAACTTGTGGGATTTTACCCAAAAGGTATCAAAGAGCTGCCCAATAAGTGCCAACAAGTCAAGGTAAATAATGACAAATATATAATTGAGTAAAATGTAATTTTTTTTTTTAAATTTTTTTGAAGTGAAGTTTATAAACAAAATTATTTATGACAACCTATCAGGTCATCCCATAAGTTCTGTTCGAATATTAACTTTTTGTTAAAATGAACAAAATTTAAAAAGTATTTTATAATGTCTAATGGAGCTGAACATTATTTTTATGTTTAGATGCATTTAAACTGATCAAATTTTATTTCAGAGAACAATAAAATTAAATTTTGTTTGATTAAAACCCTGCTAACATGGAAGTACCTAAGAATCATTTGAGGCACATAATGCTTTATGAGTTCAAGAAAGGAAATTCAGCAGCCGAAGCGGCTAGAAACATTCACTCAGTTTATGGAAAAGAATGTGTGAATGAAAGAACTTGCAGAAGATGGTTTGCAAAATTCAGAGGTGGAGATTTCACCCTTGAAGCTGAAGATCGAACCGGACGTCCAGTTGAGTTTGATGAAAAGCTTCTTGAAGCAGCCCTTGAAGAAAATCCTGCTTTATCAGTTGAGGAATTGTCAGTGGTTCTCAGTTCAAACCATACAACTGTTCATCGTCATCTTCAACAACTTGGAAAAGTTCCTAAACTTGGAAAATGGGTGCCTCATGAATTTTCTGAAAACAACCTCAAATCCCGAGTTGACATCTGCTCTTCTCTCCATTCTTGCCAACTTGTTTCACCTTTTTTGGATAGACTTGTGACTGGTGATGAAAAATGAATCTTTTATCGAAATGTTAAGCGTTGTAGACGTGGCTTGGTAAAGGGGAAGGACCCCAGCCACAGCTGAGAAGGGAACTTCATGGGCAAAAGGTTCTTCTTTCAATCTGGTGGGATTGCCAAGGAATAATCCACTTTGAATTCTTACCACCTAATGCAACAATTAATGCTCAAATATACTGTCAGCAATTAGAGCGTTTGAACCAAGCTTTGAGGAAAAAAGACCTGCTCTAGTGAATTGAAAAGAGGTGATGTTTCATTAGGACAATGCGCGACCCCACACAGCAAGAATCACGTCACAAAAGATCAAAGAACTTGGTTGGGAGAAAATTCTTCATCCACCTTATTCTCCCGATCTTGCTCCTTCAGACTACCATTTGTTCCATAGCTTACAGAATAATTTGGAAGAAACAGCTTTTGTAAAACGGGAAGAGGTTAAAACTGATATTTGTGAGTTCTTCGAATCAAAGCCAAAAGAATTTTACAGTAATGGAATTAGTAAGCTTGTTAATAGATGGAAGAAAGTCATAGATAATCAGGGAAAATACATTGTTGATTGAATCTGTAATTAAATGTAACATTTGGTCACTTGTTTTCTTTATTCAAAATTCGGACAGAACTTATGGGATGACCTGATAATTGTATATTGACTCCTTTACTTTACCTCATTAATATTATTAAAACCCTGATAATTTAAAAAATATTATTACTGTACCATGTGACTTTTGAAGACCTAAATTTGAAGCTAATTTTAAGGTGGTCACATCATACACAAGACATAATTAGCATATATAGAGTTGGTCCTGGCTACACCAATGACCAAACTATATATCCATTCACTGTAGTCAAATTAGCTTCAAAATTAGGTCTTCAAAGGTTGCATCATCTGTGAGTATCTACAGCACTTATTATTACTGTATTTAAGTAGTAATTAATAAAAATATGTACAAGAGCTAAAGTCCTTGTCTAGTATCAAAGAATTTTCTCTATAATTAGGTTTATGAGCTCTAATATTCCACTTTGAAGATCCCAGATAAATTTTCAAAGTTTGTTTTAGAGGTTAAGGAACTTGGTGTCTTTGACATTCAGAAATATTGTAAATGGAATTATATAAATATTATTTTGTCTTTTCAGCCTCATTATGGTTTAATTCAAACTAAATTGGAACTTATTACACACGCATATTTTGATGAACGGGACTTCAGTAAAGTTGAACTGCTGATAGAGACCTACCAGAACCTCAGCACCTTGCTTACCGACAGTCCAATTGATGGCACAGAGATTTATCTCGGTTAGTGTTTATTTCAGTCTTTGTTTATAATTGGAATTAAAAAAAATAATTCTTTACATTGAAAGTACATTGAGGGATTACTAATAAATAATTTAGCAACTGTAAACATGTCAAAATGCTATATTACGTCACCAACCTTTATTGAAACCATTCTTAAAATCTCTAATGTATATTTATTGTATAGGCCCCTGGTGTGGGTGGTTTCATTTTGTCTACTCTCAGCCGGCAATCACTAATTGTTTTGGTTCAGCAATGAAAGACTTCACAGAATTTTAATTTAACTATTTTTATTATTCATGTCAACATGTATATTGTCTATCCAGTGAGGGTCAAACCAGACCCCTCCTTCCTGCGAGAAGTTTTGGACATGAAAGAGCACATTTCTACATTGCTTGAAGGGTAAGAAGTAACTCGCTGGAACCTCTTTCCCATCTATCTTAACCATGCTTGCTCAGCCAATCAAAATCGACTTCCCTATTATGGCTCACATCTAACCCTGAATGTCAAGCTCCAGAAGTACGAGCCGAGATACACTTCCCCTAAAAATAATAGTCTGCTAAACTATTATTTAACACACCTCACCTAATCAAAAAGATTCATTTATGAATTTTATGTCAGTCTACTCTTTCGTGTCTGCAAAGCGTACTCTTTACATTTTTTTTTTCTGACTCAAGGTCAATGCCTCAGATGACAGTCTGGATTCAAATCACTCCAACAGTGGACTTTGACCTCTCTCCAATGCATACCCTACACTTAGGTCAGCAGGTACCACCTCTGCAATCCAATATTCCTGGGAAGAACAAAATTTCTTGCCTCTTCACTTGAGACTACACGAAATGTACATACAATTCACAGAATAAAATACTGGTCCAAAAGTGACACAATACATGCCAAAAGCCCCACACCGCATCAACCATTTCCATAGCTGAGCCATGTCCTTGTCACCTAAATTTTACACTTTAATTTCTTACTCACAATGACACAGTACACACTGTCCATTATCACCCTATTTATTCAACCACAGCCAATTAATTACTTTATTTGCATATTACCAAATCTTCACAAATTTATCACCATTAATTTTCTATAATTACTATTATTGACCATCTACCTCTGTGTGTCAAAACTCAACTTGCACCATCTCAGTTTCTTCTGCCCCTGGCTCCCTCCATGGGGAAAACAAGCACACCTGCTCAGCACCTCCTAACTAATCCATTACTGACTTTACTATGGTTTACAAGGTTTTTTTTTTTTTTTTTTTTTTTACATTAGTCGTGTATCGCAACCTGGCATCTCACAAGCAATCTGGCCAATTACTTTTGGTTGTAAGAGCCATTCCTCAGTTCTGGGTAATATCATAGGATATATTCATCCTCTATGAATACTTCACAGTTTACCAAATACCAAATTGACAGTCATGTCAGTGTGTATGTGTGAGTGTTCACTGTTCTTGCTGTGTTCTTTCTTTCTTTCTTTCTATTTGTCGTTTTCTTTTCTTTTCTTTTTTTTATAACTTGTTTGTCCATCAAAACCTTTTTGCTTGCACATGCAACAAAACCAGTCTGCTTACACTTTTTACTTTCTTTTGTCCCCCACCCCCGCTCCATCACTGGGGAGCCGTTTTGGATGCGAAAAAGAACATGTATACATGGTGTTTATGTAAAAAAAAAAAAAAAAAAAAGAAAAACCATTCCCAAATCAACATGCAGACAATCATGAAACATAATGTCTACTAGACACACACACACACAAATATATAAATTATCATCTGAATCCCACATAGACAAACTAGAATTATTATACAGTTACATAAAGTAATATTCATGTTTTTTTTCAGTTAGGCTTGAAACCCGTTAATTTCTTGGAGCTTCAAAGCGACACACAGTCTCTCCTTGAATTCAGAATGCCATCAATTACATTAATCACATTCACATGAAATCTGATTAACCAATGAAAATCAAACACAAAAATAAAAATATCAAATCTCATTCTCTAATGAAGCTTTAATAAAAGTGAAATATGTTAGATTGATAAACATTTCCTATTTGTTCTTTATCCTATTATTGTTAAATTCCGATCCATATTTTTATCTGTATTTGATCCCAATTCATCAACGGTCATTGCCTAAGAAACCAGTTGTCGAGATTCTTAGAAGAATTTACACTCAAAGAAGTTCATAGTTGGGAGAAGAATTGCTGGTAAATTTTAAGTTTTGAAAAGTGGGAATAAAATCCTAATGTAATTTTAAATTATCAAGAACTATAATTTAAGAAAAATTAAAAAATCTAATTAAAATGTCATTGTACAATTTGCAAGTTTATAAATCTGTATTTTTCTTTGACTTAATTATAAACATGATGACCAATTGCAGAGATGCTGCTAGGTGTGTGTCCTGCATCCTTGGTGCATAAAAAAATCTAAAAAGATGCAGTAACTCCCTGTGAAACACAGGGATGCACCTCAAATCACCCATGAAAAAATGATACATTGCACACAGCCAACCTGTAATACTTATGAGATAGTAAAAGGAATTTGTTGTTTGTTGATACTAAGTAAACAAGGACATCAGTCGAGTGATTTAGCTACATTTAATTTAAAATGTAACTAATATATTCTTTCTGTAATAAAATGCAAATCATTTGTCAGATGAACTATGATAGATATTAATGGGAATTAGTACTTAGATAATTTATTTTTTGAACATTTTGTATTTTTGTCCTCATTTAAAAATTGCCATCACAACAATCACAGTTACAATAAGTTTGTCTTTGTAATTAACCACTGAGGATGACCTTGGAGGAGATTGAAAGTACTTGGGTAGGAAAAAACTATGGCACCTTCCTTGATGAATTTCATTTTAACATCAGAAAAGTGATTAGAGAACTGGAAAGGATTATTATAAAAATAGACATAAGTCTATATTATTTAATGAAACCTGTTTGAATGAAGATATGTTGCCTAAATATACATACATTTTATATATATATATATATATATATATATATATATATATATATATATATATATATATAGTGTGATGGGTAAATTGTTGCCATTATATACTTTTTAATTTTGTGCATTCAGGTTTTTTTGATTTTATTGACTTCACAGTATAGTAGGGTCAGTTGAGCACTGTGAGGAAAAGAACACCATGACACAATTCACTCCACCAGAAATTGGTAAACGGCATACTGTATTGCTTGGCACTTGTGCCGGAAGCTCCAATACGAAGATTTCAGTGTGTTTTGGTGTCAATCGGAGGACAGTGCACAGGATTTGGCAAGAGTTGGATGATATATCCAGTAAATATCATGGTGTTTGGAGTGATCACTAGAGATGGCAATGTTATGCCTCTATTCATCTTCCCACAAGGCCTCAGACTCAACATGGAGACCTGTATGAAATGCTTTGAAGTGGTAGTGATGCCCTGAGTCAAGAGGGTAGCTGCTGGAAGACCTCATGTCTGGCAACCAGACTCTGCACCATGTTGCATAAGTAGACGAACCCAGTCATGCCTTTCAGACAATTTCTGCAATCACATCACCCCTTACATCTGGCCACCTAACTCTCCAGACTGCAACCCCTTGATTATTATGTGTGGGGTGCAGTTGAGCAAGAGACCAACAATACTCCTTGTAACACAAAAGATGAAGTGAAGGCAAGGATTATGGCAGCATTCACCAACTTAAAAAAGGAGACTGTCCAGAAGAGATGCAGGAGATTCTGAAGTCGTCTGGAGGCCATAGTTGAAGCCAATGGTGATTTTATTGAATAAATTTACTCTTTAGTATTTTAAGATATTTTTGAGTAATTTTGGTAAATATATCTGTTAAAATGAGATGTCTGTGTCATTTTCATTTTTGCATAATTTTGTTGGCAATTTATCCATCGCACTGTATGTGAAATATAATATATATATTAAAGTGGTCTGTTTTTCTTTAAATTAAATTCGCTCTAAATTAACATTGAGCTCTCAGCATTTCATCCTCCTTGGGATTATCCATACGGATTACCAAGATTTTCGTTACTTAAATATATATATATATATATATATATATATATATAAGAAATATGTTGTAGTGGTTCCAACGAGAGAAAAGTATGTATATTAAAGAGAAGAGAGGTGCATAAACGTTTTTTGGTTGTAATGTGGATTTATTTAGAAAAAATATTATGCTTTGTTTTACATAATTTTTCACGACACGTGTTTCTGGTCTCGTGACCGTCTTCAGGTAAAAGTGGAGATTTCCACATTATTAAAAATAATTAATTTTTCCTCATGTTCAATGTTAAATATTCTCGATATGAGACATTCTCTGTTTGTGTGTTGGTAATCCAAATTTCCTTCTTATATATATATATATATATATATATATATAAAAAATGCATATGTAGATGTAACATGTTTGAAGATGAATAATTCAAGGATGCTTGGATCAAGCCTGATTTCCAAAACACTCATTCTGATTTGCCAGCTAATATGCAGTCTTGGAAATATGGTGTGTGCAAGTGCATGCTGTTGTTCAGCGCAGGTTATGTAAACCATCTGAAAGGACATCATAACAACCAGAAGCAAGCCAGCTATGCCAATCAGCCTAATTTGTCCTATTGATAATACCTGTTGTTGTTGTTGTTTGCAGATCATTATCTGGACAGATTAGGCACCTGGTAGTACACAAGCGAATTGTAGGGCATGCAGATCCAATCAAGGATACAGTTTATCCATCATATATGTCTGATATCTATGAAATCAAATGCTAGTCTCAAGAGTCACCCCAGACTTTTGGTGTGTGTGCGTGCATGTGTGTCTGTCTAGGCAATATTGGCCATTTGACTAAGTTTTGAATACAACAGATAATTTATGTTATATTTTTTTTTGTTCACAAATTAATGTCCATATTCTGTACATAGAAACTGTCCGCATTTCATGTACTTGTTAAGGTCATCAGCTTTTGCCTGGTTTCAGTCATTATCAAGAATAAAATAAACTTTGAAGTCTGTTTAGCAATTGCTTGCATCTTTAGACTAATATTGTTTGCAAATTTATTTGCCCTATTTTAGATTGTATCTCTAAAAATATAAAAAAATCAACACCTTATATAGGATATACAAATACAACTCAGAGACTTGCTTGTCATAATTCTGACCAGAGTGCTATATGGCAACACAAAAATGACAATATAAGCCAGCTCCTTGTGAACAGCAGAATAATACTCAACAAAATCAACTAAAAGAAATATTGAATATGTGATATCAGAAGTATTTAGAATTTAGAGAGCGAGTCAGTTTGGAGACCAATGAAAGACATGATACAATAAACATGATACTTAAAAAAATATAAATAAAAGAAAATAAATACAATTGAAAAGCAAAGAAATGTAATGCATAGCTACAGACTCAACCCTACCAGCACATAGAAAAATCTCTTTCATAATGGCTTACAAAAGCTAAGTGTTCAGAAAACCATTGAACAATTTTTCCTTTGAAATCAGGAAAATGACTTGAACCATAGAAAAATTTGATAAAAAATATTTATCAAAAGATTTTCACAATAACTTGCATAAATGAAAAATTGCTGCCCAAAATACACACTTGTATAAAAAAAATCAGTTTTATTGAAGAAATCATACAAGTTATACCAATATTTTTTCCAAAAAGTTTATAAAAACTGTTCATGTGATTTGAGCTTTCGACTGGCTCAATCATTATCAAGAATAAAAAAAAATATATAAATGAATTCTTTAAAAATGAAAAATATTTGTCACATGAACATTTTTATTCTTACTGGGAGAATAGTTATTTTATTTACTTTATTTATTCTTCTATCAAAACAATATAAAAAAAGGTGACACATCTCTTTACTGATAAGAAAAGGAGCAACAATTTTGTTTAAATTAAACATCTAAAAGTTACATGCAAAAAGAAGCGATATGATTTATGCAATTAGATAAGGAATTAGGAAAATGCTAGTCAAGCACTACCAAAGACATGTGAGATTTCTTGTTTTACTGATCCAAACATTGAATTGGATTTCATTTTCTTTGCAGGTCTTCCAGCCCGAGATCTTGTTGTACTTTTCCGGCATAAGGTCCTTGTGCTCTTCAAACTGTTGATGCTGGAACGACGGGTACGTTTAACCATTTTATTCACCCGCATTCTCAAAACAAAAAAAAATTACAGGGACTGCTTTTGAAATGCAAGTAAGCATTTAAAGAAGCAAGATCAACATGTCACCATTGGGCAGGGTGTTACATAATATTTACTACTCACTATCTCTAAATAAGTAGTCTCTTTGTTGTAAATATTTATGGATTTCCTTTCTATTTTTTTTCTTTGTAACTGTCATAATTTTTTTTTCTTTATTTAGCATCTTGTTAGCCTACAGATGTGGATATAAATAGAACAAGACTGTTTGGCATCTTGTTAGCCTACAGATGTGAATATACAGGGTGCAATGGTTAAATTGTCATCTCAGTCATGCAAAAATGAAATTAACACTGACATCTGATTTGAGCATATATAGTTATCCAAATTACACAAAAATATCTTTAAATACTAAAGAGTAAATATATTCAGTAAAATTGCCATTGGCTTCAACCACAGCCTCCAGACAACTTTGGAATCTTGTGCAACTCTTCTGGACAGTTTCCTAGTTGGTGAATGCTGCCATAATCCTTGCCATCAGTTCATCTTTGGTATTACAAGGAGTATTGTTGGTCTCTTTCAACTGCATCCTACACATAATAATCAAGGAGGTTGCAGTCTGGAGAGTTAGGTGGCCAGATTTAAGGGGTGATGTGATTACAGAAATTGTCTGACAGCCATGCCTGGGTTCTGCTTGTGAGGCATAGTGCAGAGTCCGGTTGCCAGACATAAGGTCTTCCAACAGCCACCTCTCTTGACCCAGGGCAACACGACCTCCTCAAGGTACTTGATGTAGGCTTCCGTGTTGAGTCTGAGGCTCTCACTAACAAATTCGGGAGTTCTTTTCTTATCAGAATGATCAGAGTGAGTTTTCCAAGCTGCTGTACCTTCATAATTACTATTAGACTCATCCAACTCTTTCCGAATCCTCTGCATTGTCCTAACATTGACATGCAAACACTCTGATATGTTCATTTTGGAGCTTTCGGTATGAATGCCAAGTAGTGCAGCATGCAGTTTCCAAATTTCTGGTGGAGTAAATTGTGTCATGGTGTTCTTTTTCTCACAGACAGTGTCTAACTGATCCAACTATACTGTTCAGTCAACAACAAAATCAATTAGTTTTATATGTTAAAATATATTGCAAACTTTCAGTATGCAAAAAGTAAAAAGAATAGATAAATTGATAAGATTTTAAAAGTTTTTAAAACCAATTCATGACATAAGTGTTTTAATCTAGGAACATTGTGAATTTGTGAATTGCCGAAAAAAAGTAACCCACTCAATTTTTAGAATAATTTAAAAAATTGTTTTTGCTAACCATTCAATCAGTATATATGATTGAAAAAAATATATCAACAAGTGAAGAATATTTTTTAATGAAGAGGATTTGATAAAATAGTATTTACTTTAGTAATAACTCGGATAAAGGAATAATGCAAATCAACCAAATTTCCTTTCAAAGAAACTAAGTACAGTTCAAGCTTTCCTGCTATGGCAACATTATACTTACACACACACACACACACACACACACCCTTCTCAATTTATCTGAAGTGTTTACTCAAAAGTTTTGGGAATTTGTATACTGTATGCAAAATTGCATATATTTTGAGAGCAAGTTTAGCAGAAAACTAACAAAACTTCAAGATAAAACATGATACTTAGAAAAAAAATAAAATGACATTCTGCCCACTAATATGTGAAGACCGAACTCTCAAAAACTACCTTAGAAAATACAATGCATATACATAGTCACAACCTTATCAACACAAAAATGACAATAAAAATGAAATCTTCACTGGAAACCAGAGAAATTGTTTAAACTAGTCAAATCCAAAAAGAATAACTTTGATGTGGACAATTTATGTTCAAATCTTCACATCGAAACCAGAAATTTTGTTTAAAAATAATACATATAGAAAAATTAATAAAAAAAAAGACATGTCCAAACAAATAATTATTCTCAAATTAATGACCAAAAACCCGTGCATACAAACTGGTGAACTTTTGGTCATGCTATCTACCAGACGGGACCAGCAGGGATTTTGTTGGAATTAAACTCACGAGACTGTATACATACCAGTGTAAATGACTTCAGCTCAAAGGAGATGGTATAAAACGGATGGGGGGGAAAACTTTTTTGTGCATGAAGGCCACATTGAAATTCATCGTCCCTCACAGTGCCTTTTGTGGGAGGTGCACACCCATCTCTTAGTCTGCATGTCAGGTGACCATTTTTCACCAGATCACGTGTTATTTTTTACAGTTTTACACATTTTGTATCTTAGGTAAATAATACATAAAATAGAATTTAATAAAGATATAATTTAATAAAAACACACATAAAACTGAAAAACAAGACATGTCCAAACAAATACTTTATTCACCTTTTAGACAAATTAATGACTTCCTTGACATTGCTTCTTTTGGTATTTTGATATCAGGCTCTAACATGGTGGTTATTAGTTTTAATTGGTCATTCAAATGCTCATCTGTCAAATGTTCTCTTAACAAATTCTTGATTTGTGTCAAGTATGACAATGTAGATTCACAACTGTATGTTGAAAAAAAACATGAAATAATTCAGTGTGCATGTTCACGAAGGATAGGATATTCTCTCACCCATTTTCAAATTTCATTGTGATCTTTCTTGCTGTCAAACAGAGTTGTCAGGATTTTATTTTCAGACTACTCAATAAACTCCATTTGTAACACCTCGGGAGCCTCTGATACATTAACTAAGTGAGGCTGAAAAGCCAGTTTCAGGGTGATGTTATCTTTATCAAAACAACTGGATCCTCTGCTGTATTCTTCTATTAATGAGTCTAAGACTGACAGGTATTCTTGAAAAGATTCATAGATATTCTCTTCACTTTCACTCATTACTTTCAACAAGTAGGGAAAGTATTCTTCTGGAAGTTTTGTCTGAGCAAAAAAGGACATGAAAAATAACTTCTTTCTGAATGAAAGAATGTTTTGCCACATATCTTGATTTATTTCTGCTTTATAACAAAATATTTAACTCATTTTGTTTTGTCACTACATCACACTCAAATGCAGCATCTCTGTGAAATTTTGTATCTGATAATTCACAAAAATTAGTTTTCTTTGAAAAAGTCAATTATTTGCTCTTGTAAAGACAAAAGTTTTACCAATATATATTCTTGTGATAAGCAGCGTATTTTTGAGTGATAAGGCAAATCTACACTAATTACCTTGCTATCTATCATCAACATGTTTTGAAACTGACTATACCTCATGGCATTTGCTCATATATAGTTTACAACACTTATCTTTTGTAAGGTGTTATTTAAAATAGCAGATTTTGCACAGAGATGTGGCTTGTGCTGAATGTAATCAAAAGAAATCACTGCATTTGGAGCTGTGGTTTCTCTTTTTAGATGTACAATGAATCCTTTATTTTTAGCTAACACAGATGAAGTATACACTTAGTAAGATTCAGCTCAGCCATATAACATTTCTCTTTGAAGTTATTAAAAATATCTATTCCTCATGTTTCTCTTTTAAGGGTGCCAAAGTAATTCTTTAAATAATTAAAAATTGTCAGTTATTGCACGAATGAAATACAATACTTGTGCCGAGTCAGCGGAATCTCTCAATTCATCCAAATCTAAGGAGAGATATACATTGTCTTTTTCTTATTATATTTTGGAGCTGCTCTGCTACATTACTGATCAATTCATGCTGTCGATCTGTATTAGTCCTTCTTGAAAGAAGTACATTTTCTTATTTGTTAACTTTATTTGGATCTAAACATTTTACGACTTCTACAATGCATTCCTTTATGAGCTCGGCATCATTGAATGGTTTACCTTTTTTTTCAAGCAAACTTATAGCAACTTTATAGCTTGGTTCTTCTTGAAAGAGGCACATTTTTATATTTGTTAAATTTATCTGGATCTAAGTATTTTACAACATCTACAATGCATTCCTTTATGAGCTCGGCATCGTTGAATGGTTTGCCTTTCTTCCGAGCAAATATACAACTATAGCTTGCATCTGTTGCAGCATTTCCTGAATTAATACAGAATGGAATAATTGTCTCTGCTTTTGCTTTCCATCCTTTAGTTCCAGCAGTGCAATCCTTCAAGCATCACCCTCCAATTTAGCATATTTATTATCTATATGAACAGCATAGTGTTGACGTGCATTGTATTTTTTAAGTGTCAAAATTGCAGCATCACAAAGCAATCAAGTCACTGAAACACTAAAAAATATTACAATTCCCATTCATCATTGAAGGTCCTATTTTCTTCTTTCAAAGTTTTTAATTTTTTGAACATAATGGGTTAAAATTAATAGAGGAATGATTTAATTCTGAAAAGATAAATCTTAGCAAACACAATGAACTAGACTTATATATGCATTGTTGTTATTGAAAATCATGCTAATTATCTGCATCAAAGATCAGTATACATAATAAAAATTAGTAAAGATACTAAAAACAGTTATAATATTTGGGCACTGTCATTATCAAAGTTATAAAAGTTGTAGTATCGCCTTAAATAAGAAAAGGAAATTTTATGTTGAAAAAGAAATTTTGATGGCTTGCCTAGAGAAATCTTGTTAGGGAATGCTGGCAATGCTATTCAAAAGCAGGGTTGTGGAGCTGACATCTAAATCTTCAGCTTCAACATTTTGAAATTCACTGACTCCAGCTCCAACATTTTAAAATTTCCTGCTCCCAGCTCTAACTAGTCTCACATAATGATTGATATATCTTACTGAAATTGGACCTTGCTCATTGATATTCATAGGTCATAATAGACAGCTATTAATGTAAATTGTAATGAATATTCCTCTGCCTTTGTTAATCTCTTATTATTGATTATAATATAATCAATTATTGATAAAAATATAAAATTAGCAACGTGTTTTAGTACAACACAATTATCCTTTGTTAATTATAAGTTCAATGTTTCAGTGAAAATTCCCCCAAAAATGTTAAAAAAAAATATAAAGTTTGTTGCTAACTGAAGTGATGTAAGATTAGCATTTGAAAGGTGATAGATGAAGAGTCAATGTTGAAAACATTTACTTACTCAGGTTGCAAAGTAGTAAGTAGGCTGGTAGCAAGATGGCATTTAATTTTAACAAGGAACATTTTTTTTGCTCGTTGAAGGGAACAGAATTTGATTTTTTTTTTTTATATATATTACAGCAGTCCTTCATTCAGTTAGAGTTCTTGTGTAGTAGAATTTTTTCTTTGTAAGTTGAGTTGTAGAAATAAATTTGTCATCAATGTTCTGAAAGGCTAAGTTGAGTTACATTTGCATCCTTCTATGTCTAATCCAAGCCTGTCTCTTTTTTTTTTCTGTCTTCTATCAGCACTTTCTATTTGTTTATATTCCAGTTTATTTTCTTGCACAAGCTTGTGAATTTCTTTTTCCCTTTTTCTCTAATTTCCGAAAATCAATGCTTCTCATTGGTTGAATATTTATTTCTAACATAGGCTTGAAAATTTCTTTCTTTTGTTTCTCTAGTTTCCTCAAGACAAAGCCTCTCATTGGTTGAATATTCACTTCACACCTAATAGTGAATTTTTTTTCCGAATTGGCAGTTTCACTAGCCAAGCTAAGGAAGTTTTATTTTTATTTTTTGCTCTCTACAATAGTTATGCTTATAGTATGAAAAAAGGTTAAATATAAACACTGATAAAAGATGTCTTGAATTTTGTGTTCTTCTTTCTAGCTGAAAATGATTATTTTTTTTTCTCCATGTAGTGCACAATTATTATTATTATTTTTTTTTCATTTAATTATTTTTGAGTTTTTCTTACAGAGATAGAGAACAAAGACAGCCAGCTGAAATTGTTAGGGGAATGTGAAAAGTTAGCAAAGGCATAACCAACAGACACATCACTAAGTCACTAACAATGACTGTTGTTACAAGCAGAATAATATTAGTTTGATGATATATATATAATTTTACTGTAAGATCTTAATGGTTTGAAGTTAACACCAGAGAAGAAACTTTAGCCAACTCAAACCATACAAGTAATGTATTTTTGATCAGTAACATAAGCTCAGAATGATAAAGTTAATTATTGCTGCAAAAGAGAAAAAGTTATGAACTTTTGGAGTTAGTACATTTTTTGCAGGTTTCTGCTCTGGCTCTTACTTTTCTAAATTATCTGGTACCATATCCCAGCTCAAAAGTTGCAGAAGGCCACATGTGATGACCCAAAAGGCTGTATTATGTCTAGGTGTGGTTGTAGGGTCACTGTAGTTCTTTCCACATGTGTTGGAAGCTGTGTAGCATGGCTTGTGACAGATAGACTTGGCTGAGCCTACAGCCAATGTCCTCCAATTTCAGAAAGCTAGGAAGCTGAATACATGTTCAGTATTTCGATAAGGTAGAATGACCTCATAGTGAATATTTTATATATCTTATATAAATACTTAATTTCTGTATTTCAAAAGTGAAGTATATTCATTATTCCACATTATGTTTGTCTATATTTCTGAGATGGGATATTGTAATTATTTTTTATTGTCCTCATCTTTGTTGCCATATTTACAACATTTTGGCCATTGTATGAAATTTTGAATTGAACCCTTTCATCTTGTTCTAGTCCAATGCTTCTTCTGTATGTCTCTATTATCTCCCTTTATCTCAACTATCCAAGTAGCCAGATATTAAACTTGTAAATCTCTGGGTCAAATTATTGGATCCAACCAATGCTTTTATCAACTGGGCCATGTGTTCTTGAGGACATCAGTGTATGAATTTTTTGGACTTATAAACTTAATGTCTGTTATAGTGGAACACACCTATTCTATAGTTAATAGACTCTTCCACCTATAATAAGTAGGAGTAGTAGGAATCGCTCAGGGAGTTGGTCAGTCAGTTGATGTCGGACAACCGTTAGTCGGATACTAAAGTATCAGCCACCACAACTAGATTACTGCGTAATTACCTATTATCAAGTTCCTAACGTTTTGTACGTCGAACCTATTTTAGGACCGACAGTACAAATACAAGCCTCCACTGTGAAACCACTCTGCAACAATGTCTCAGTCAACATTTCTTACTATTTCTTACAATTTTTCTTATTGCTTTTCTCTAGCACTACGTATTACTAGTTCCTATATTAATTTCTATGCTTGGCCAGCTTAAGAGATTTTTGTGGCTTACCATTTATGCTGATTCTGTAAGTTTTCATATTTTCAAGTGATGTTCTCTGTCTATTGCTGAGATACATAATGACACCTCAATACTCTGGCCACACCAGGAAGAGATCCAGCTACTACTGGACCATGTGAACTCAATAAGATCATTGATACAGTTCACAATAGAGAGAGAAGACAACAACAGACTATCATTCTTGGACCATAAAGCCGTAACACGAGGGGAAATAGAAAAATCAGGCATAGCTGACCATATATGGAGGGAAAAGGGAGATCCCTGCCGTATGAAGTTGAAATAATAGAGAACTGAAAAAAAATACAAAAACTTAAGGAATCAGCACATATGCTAGGCCACCAAAATCTAAGCTGGCCAAGCACAGAAATTAATTCAATATGGGAACCAGTAATAATTGACAAATTTTGTACATTTGTAATATAAGATATAATCACATTCAAATTTATTCGAAATTTTGATATTTTTTTAAAATTGTTTTTCTTTAGTCAGCAGTTGTACTAACTTTTTTTTTTTTTTTTCATTGAATTTTAATGACATTTTCAGGACCTATTTACAAATGAATTAAATTATTTTTATAAATGTTTTTTTATTAGAAAATCTTGATAAAATTTTTATTTTTATGTATTTCACTCTCTTACTTAATTTTATGAAAACTCAAAAAATTCAATGGGATAATTTTTAGTGACTATATTTTGAAGAATTTAAATCACCAATTCTTTTTTAAGTTTGTTATAGCCAAGGATGATAGTGGGGGAAAACTCCCCCTGGCTATAAAATGCTTCTGTGACATGTCTTAAATAACCTCTAACATTTAAGTCCAGCTTCTATCTAGGGGAAGGAAAATACTGATTTTTGTTTGAAACTACCATTGCCATGCAGTTGTATCCAACCAAACCAGGAAAAGGCTATGGAAGTAAGTACAGACAGAAAACCTGGAGTTGAGTCCCAAAGACACTGTCAACACTGACAACTCATGCAGCCATGCTGTTCCCAAATGTAATATCCCCATATTCCATTGGATCTTGATGGTATGGTTGAGAGAGGGGGCATGTAGTTTGGGCAGCATATGACCTTCATATACCATCACCAAGGCCTGTGTCCTGGAGTGGTCACTCCAGTGTCACTGCCAAAAGACTGAATTTTAACCAAATATGTTACTACTTTTATCTTGTGAGATGAACAAATACCTACTAATTTGGGATTTTGTTTTTTTCTAGGTGCTTTTTACTGGGAAACCTGTTCAAGAATTGTGTCGGACTATGCTTGGAATAATGTCCTTGTTTCCTGGTAAGTAATTTTTACCTGTTGTTTTTTTCTTTTGTAGTTCTTCTCTCACCTAACATTCTTCTAGCGTTTGTATTTTTTCTTGGTAAATTAAATCTCTTCATTGTTTGCCTATTAAATTTGAATTGCAAGGGTTACAAATAAATGACTTCAAATGAAATTTGAACTTGTATCATCTACTTCAAATTTTTATCCTGTCATCACATTAAAAAAATAATCACTAGCTGATTTCTTATACAACTATTTTAAGATTTTATTTATACATTTATTTTTTTCCAATAGATGTTTCTTATGGTTAGCATCAGTAGTTTTCAGCCTGAGGGAAGGGTATGAATCCATTTCTTCCCCCCCCCCAGCTATGGGTAAATAGCAGGACAGCCTGGGTACTATAACTTTGGTTGGCAACTTGTCTACAAGGAAAATTTTGAATTCAAATCTAGCCTGGAGATGGTTGTCTCTGTCAGGCTATCTTGCTCAGGAAATATCACTGCTACTGTGGCTGTATTACATGTGGTATATCTACGGACCTAATTGGTTACGGGTTTTGTGATTGTGATCATATTGTAATTTTTATTAAAAATAGTTTAAATTGTTACTATCTTTTTAAAAAAAAATAATGATGAGATAAAAATAGAATTTTTGCAGCCAGTTATATGTAAAAAGATTTTCTTATTTAGTTTTTAAATAATGTAGATAAGTAAGGTTAAATAATACCCCCGCACCACCACCCCACCACCACAAGAAACTTTTTCTCATTTACTTTATTCACATACAGACTATTGTCCTTATCTTTTGTTATTATCACGTTTTGGCTGTTGCACCCTCTGGCTTTCATCAGATACTTGTCAATCTGGACAACTATCACAGAACTTTGAACCAAGCCCTTTATTTAATGTCCAGGATTGGGATAGATTGTCCACATTCCACTGACCATATTATGCATATCTTGTCTAGTTTTTATTTAGTACTGCTCAGTTATTGCCCAACCCATTTCCACCAATTTCAAGTACACACTGTCCAGCCCAGTGATTGAACTCACAATTACTGTCACCAAATTCACAAACCAACAGTTTGGTTATTGTCCCTGATGTAGGCCAAAGGGCACATTGCCAAAATATTGTGATAACAATAACAACAAAAATGAGGACAATAGTCTGTGTCAAAATAATGCTAACTCCTCAGACTAACTAAATTCAGACAGAAAATAGTATTGTTCTTCCTTTTTATTTATATTGCTTTATTATTTATTCATTGCCAGTATTTACACCTGATGCTTAAGGTTACATTCATGGAAAGCCTGAAAATTTCTAGTTTAAATTTCTTGAAACATCAAATAGTTTAAATATATTTTTATATATATATATATATATATATATATATATATATATATATATATATATGAAATTGTTTTCAAGAAAACTATGTAATTTTTTTTCTCTTAACTTTATAGGTCTTATAGAGTTTGGTCTGAAAGAATCAGCCTGCTATTCTCCACATCGGCAACTATCACCCACCTTGAAATTTCGACAGGTAGAATCTGATGCAGATGGCTTCTTGGAAATAAGCTACCATGAAGATGCCAATTGTCAGATTTCCATGTCCCACCCTCGACCCCCTTCAAGGAGCATTAGCATGACCTCAGAACCCGAGAACCAGACAATTCTGCGAGATGAGAACCATGTCCATGAACCAGCCGACGAGCTGTCTAGAAATGGTAACATTTCAGAGGCTTCATTGTTGTCTTCAGGGACATTGCCAACAGAATCTGAAGACCACCTAAAAAAAGAGAAGCAGCAAAGTTTGGAAAGAGATCTCAAGTCCACATCTGACTGCAGTACGCAAATAAATGGTGTGATGCTTAATACATTAAAAGATGAAGAAATGTTTAATAATAACCAAAGTTTAGATAAATTTCTGCAGCCAAGCTCGGACTCTTGCAATAAGTATCCACAGTCAGATCCACTTATTGAAAAGCTTTCGGAAAATGATTTTTGTTTCTCCTCACCACTTCGGAACAAGAACACTGTCCTGGAGGGAACAGAATCGTCTTCAGATGCACTGAAGCGGAGCAGCAGCATTGAAGAACTTGATTCCCCAGAGTCGATCAGCAAAATTGATCGCGAAGATTGCTTCTCTCTGGAAGGCGTCTTTCTACAGATCAACCACGATAGGGATTCAAAATGTGATATTGAAAAGCCTGACCGTTCTTTGTGCCTCAATCTTGACGGTTCTGATTCTGCAGGTCAAGCCGTTCAGTCTACAACTCCACCCAACTATTCCATATCAGAGCCGGCCATAAAAGGTGATCCTGTCTTAAGTATGGCTTCGGCAAATGCTGACTCTTCTTCAGTGATGGTTTATGATGACTTCTCTCAGGACTGGGAGGCTGTTAGCAATGCAAGTAATAATTCTGCCAAGAGTGCTTCTTGTACTCCTGCTCTTTCCACCAGCCCCAATCACTCAGCAGGTTCTACAAAGATAGAAGGGAACCGAGTGGTTAAACCACCTATGCATAAGCCGAATTCTTTGGACCTGCCAGACACTGTATCTACAACATTACAACAGGATGGCTATGGACTACCATTGGCTATTTTTTCCAAGGTTTCTATATCAAGTATTTTTTCTTGAGGGCATTTTTTTTTTTTACTTGATTTAATTTTTTTTAAATTGTTTTTGGCATATTTAAATATAATGTCACTTGTTCTTTTATTGTTCCCTCTCCTTAAAGTTTTTCTTATTCTCAATTCTTTTTACACTCGGTAACCCCTTGTGTCTTAGTGGCTTTATTGCCTTGCTTGGGAGTGAAATAATATACAAAAAAATCAATTTATTCAAACAATTGTACTCTGATTGTTATAAATGTTATTGATTTAAATTGGAATGAAGATCTGACAATGGTAAATAGTGAAAACAATTTAGAAAACTTATTTCAACATGATCAGTGTCATCAGAAAAAAGGATTTTATTTCAGCAAAATGTACATTGGCAATACAGAACATGATTCACATTAGACATGTGAGCATAGTTTACCTTTTTTTTTCTTGCTGAATTTTTTTTTTAAACCCTGCATTAGTCAGATGGGTTGGTTTGTTACCCCAAAATTTAAGTACTCGTAATCTCTAGTTGACAACTGGTTTCTTTTGATCTCTCCCACTATGTCATTGACTCAGTGAGGGTGTGTTGCACATGGTGTGGCACAATTGTAGCTCAGTTTTCATGGGAGGCAGATGCCAGGAGACTATCCATTTTCTAAAATCTGAGGTGACTAATGCAGTCTTAAATTAAATTTCACTAATTTCTACTCTGTTTTTATTTATGCATTCATTTGTTTTAAGATTTCTCATATACGCATTATTTCAACACCAGTGTAGTAAACAGGCAGAAGAATTCTCATACCAATGTTTTGGGGGTGGGTTTTAAATCATTTCGCCCCAAGCAAGGTAATAATTCCACTAGGATGTGGGGGTGTAGAGGGAGTGAAAGAGAATGAAAAAAAGTGAGGAAAAGGTCAAAGAAACCGGATATAGGAAAACGGAAGATGGCAATTGATGGCAATTGGATTTGCATTTAAATTTTTAATTTAGATTGTAAGTGGCAGGGAAGCAAGAAACTGGTAGGATGTTCCACAGGCAAGAAGTGTGAGAAAAGAAACTATTAGAATGGAACTGATGGTTGCTTGTAGTTCATTCAACAGTAAAATGGTAGATCTAGTTGCCAATCTAGTAGCATGCTTAAATTCATGCAGTTGAGGCAGTAAGGAGAACAGTTCATCAGAAGAATTGCCATAAAAATATTTGTAGAAAAGACAGGGGGAAGCTATGTCAAGTTGATGGGAAAATGACTTGAACTTGAGGTCAGAATTGATTACATTAAAAACCCTTCTTTGAATTTTGACAAGAATGTAGTGATAGTAGAACCAGACCATATATGGCAGTGGTATCCAATGCACAAACGAAAGGTATATTTATAAATGTGTAAGGACACAGTTAACCAACTTTCTTAGCAGTAGACTTAGAAATTCATTCAATATAATTATTCTATTTCATATCAGTGGAAAATAGGATTCCAAGAAGGCACAAAGTGTTACTCTGTTGGAGTTTAGCATCAGTCATGGTTATGGAAGGCAGAAAAAGTTCTCTGTGGTGATTAAATAAAATCAGTTTTGTTTTGGAGGCATTAAAATGCATGTTAGCCACTGATTGGAGATCCTTTTTGAAAGAAGTTGCCAGTTTTACTTTGTTGGATCAGCCGGACATGCTAGTAAGACAGGTGTGAATAGTTGTCATCAGCATAACTGATGACATTGGGAAGGTCGTTGATGAAGATCAGAAACAGTGTAGGTCTGAGGATAGAACACTGGGGGGGGGTACCCCTACATTAATATGAAATGAACTAAAGGCATGTTCATTCAACACAACCTTCATTGCATGATTTGTAAGGATTGATCAGATTAGGCCAAATATTTGTCCAGAAACACTGTAGCCCTTAAGTTTGTGGAGAAAGACAGCATGCCAAATCCTCTCAAACAAGATATCGAGGGCTACAGCCTGAACTTCACCATTCTCATCTAAAGCTTGATAAATAAATTCAGTGATGGTTGTTAACACATCAGTGGTAGACCTGGAGAAATGGAAGCCATATTGTTTATCCAAAAGGTCATGTGAAGTGTAAGAAGCTTAACCAATTCAATGTTGATTAAAGCCTTTAGTACTTTGCCAAAAAAGGTAAGAGACTAAGAGGGTTATAATTCAAGAGGGTCAGATGGTCTCTGAGAATTCTTAAAAACAGAAACTACAGAGGAGGACTTCTAACAAGCTGGAAAGCAAGGCATTTATTATAAAGTTTGTAGACAACATGAGCCAGTTCAGGAGCACACTTTTCTGACAATTGAATCTACAAGCTTTTTGAAAATCTAGTTTGGAAATGATAGCAAAAGCCATGGGCAGTAGAGACTCTGTTCTGGGGGGGTGGGGGGAATCAGGTAGAGACATTCCAGATGAGTGGAGTTGGGAGAGAAATTTCTGGCAAAGCATTTTGCTTTATCTGCAGTAGATGACAACACTTTAAATTGATTAAAGAGAGGAGGGACTGAAAATTTGCTCTTGTTCAGTACATTTTTGAAGAGCTGCCAAGAACCAAACTGATGAGAGGCTGATGCTATTTGATCCTTGAAATACATCAAAATTAGTTTTCAAAATTGTCATATTTACCATAATTTTTTTTATGGACATGAGACAGCTTCTTTTTTTTTTTTTTTCTTGTACTAAAATTCACCCAATACAAGATTTGAGAGCCACTCAAGGTAGAGGGTTAATGCTAAAATTGTTATAATGATAAAGAGAATAAAAAAAAAACAATTGATTCTTGACTAGAAGTTAAGATTGTTCAGGGAAGCTTCCATTTGGCAGTCTGTTTGACAAAGTGGCAGTTCTTGGAGTGGGGGAAGCTGTCTGAGTGGAACTTTTCTTTTGATTTTGTTAACACAGAGGAAATGAGTCTGATTCACCTGTGTGAAAATAGCATGACACATTCTAGCTGTAATGGTCTGAAATGATTTTTCAGCCAAGTTTCCTCTGGCAATACAGACAAAAAATAATATGATGATCAGCAAATATTAGCTGTTCTCTCTCGTCTCAAAATAATGGACATTGTGCCTATAATAACATCTTTAACAAATGAAGGAGTGCACACTAGTTTTGAAGAAGTCAGACATTATCTTTGCTTTTGTTATATCTCGTCGCCAGTCGTTATATCTCGCAAAAAGATATAATAACAAAAGTAAACCAGTGGTGGTTTAAATAATAATACTTTATATCGGAATGTAGGAATGTCAAAATACAGAGACAGAGTAGGAGTAAGCTAACCTAATGGTGTAGTCAAAAGACCTTTGTTGTCGCTCTCTGTTGTACCTCTCGACTGTTTACTGTGGTCGAACTTTATCAGCCACCGAACGTCCATTTATGGTGAATGAGGAAGTCAGGTTATTTCATCACAACACCTCCCCCGAAGCTGAAATTCTTCCTTTGAAAATTTCTGCTTCTAATATCGCCTTCTTTTTGGATCCGGACTAAAACGCTCCACTGGTTTTCTTTTGCCGTGTGATCCTTCTTTCAGTCGCCGCAATTTGATCCTTTTTTTTGGTGAAGATAATTTCCGCTTTCCAGCCCATAAGGCTGGTTCATGTGATCAGGTTCCAATACACTATTGGGTAGTGTCATGTTAAAAGCATCGCACAACACTTCCATGGAATTTCTTCTTTTTTTTCAACCATATCGTGGTCTCATCTGATTGATGTGTCTTTTTACACATAAATTTATTACTTTTAATCATGTAGACCACTTTTACCAATCCTTTTCTGGATTATGCCATCCATCCAAAAGCTTTTCCCACTTTTAAAGTTTTTTAAAAAAACTTTGTCTCCTGTGAGCAACTTTTTTTTTTTTGATAGGGTAACAATCTATAGAAAATTGATCTAATTTTTCTTGCGAACATAATTTCAGGTGACATTTTCGATTGTTCTCATTAGGAGTTACCCTATAGATTGCTAAAAACTTTTGAATAGTTCTTTCTTCAGTGTCTATACCTCTATTTTTTTTTCGTAAAGCTAACGTTTAAAGGTCTGACAAATTTCTTCAGCTTGACCCGTTCGACCTTGGGATGGCACACTGGTGTAGTTATGTGTTCAATGTCTAAAGGCGGTACAAAATCCTAAATTCCATATTGAACGCCGTACCATTGAACTAATGTTCTGGGAACCCCAAATGAAAATTTCATCCAATGCACTGATGGTGTTCCTAGATGTAGGATGCTTGCATGGCCATTTCGATAAAGAGTCCAAAATCAAATAATAGTGTCCATTGATTGGTCCAGCAAATCTATATGTAGACGTGCCCAACAAATCCGTTTTGAGGCCAAGGATTCATTTTGACGGAGATGCCTTGCAGCCAAAATGATATCCTTGTCCATTCCGGCCAGTATACGAACTTCATGATTGATTTCATCCGGGACATTCCAGGATGACCGGTATTTCTTTCAGTATATCTGTCCGTAGAGATTGAGGTATGACAATTCTATCTCGTACATCAACGTGTTGTCGCAAATTGAAAAAGGTGAAATCTGAGTTCCTTTTTTCTGTCTTTTGTTCCATTTCGTCTGGTTCTTTAATTTCACAATATAGTGATCTTTTTCCGAATTTTGTCTAATGTTACCGGCAATTTCCTGATTGTATTCAATAAGAGACCTGAGATTTCTTTTTCCTCAGTTAATGCTGCTATAACCGTCTCTTCTAACAATTCTTCCTTTTTTGGAATCAGCCTAATCCATCCGCATGCCCATGTTCTTTAGATTTGAAATTCCATCCCAAAATGGTAATTAAGTAGGGTTACACCCATCGCCGTGTCGATTAGCTGTAATCGTAGGAATGCCTTTTTATTCAAATATTGAAAGTAACAGTTTATGATCCGTTTGCAGTACAAATGATCTACCATGTAAAAACACAATTTCTGGCTATAATTTTTTCAGCGGAAGAAGAGTCCTTGACGCGTCTTAAGGTTTAGTAGTACCATCTTCATATTTGTGTAGCAGTGCAGCACCCTGTATAA